TCGAGGCTCTTCTTTGAGAAGTTCAGCAAGAAATCTTTCAATGACTTCCTGAAAGCCAACAAAAATCTGATCCTGATCATCTGCATAGGAGGTAGTTCTCCTCAATGTTCTAACCAGGGCGGACCGATTGTTAGACCTATTACTTGGCCCTTCTCCTGCAATAATATCGATATTTCTAATACCATAAGTCTCTCGTTTGCGAGAGATATCCATGATGCGTGTCTTGAGGGATTGGATCTCCTTGCCGACGTTGTAGAGTTTGGTCTCCTTCCTACAGATGCAAGCGCAAGACTTAAGACGACTAGCAAATCCATCGTTAGTACTGCCTTTTATTGCCACATTAGTGGAGCTATAAGTCTCCAATATAGCGACGGTGTCATTAGCAATAGAGCTGATTTCAAATATCCATTGTTGAACTCTTTGATCTTCAACTTGCTTTTCTTCTGCATCTTTGAAGAAAGATTGCATGAATAGCAGCTCATTTCTCAGCCACTGCACATTCTCTCTCTGACTTCTGCGCAAGGCAACTTCTTGTATGAGGAAATTGCCCAGCTTTTCAACTGCAAATGATACAAAGCATCAACCATTTTCAGGAATCTTTGTTTTAATTCACTGTTATCAAGAAACCAAGTTTTGTTCTTCTTCTTGAGTGTGCAGTTGATGTCATTCCTAATGTGCTATATATATGCACTTGTATTAAGCTTTGTTCTGCTTTTCACTTTTTCTTTTTAGAAATATATATTATAAGTTTGCTTGTGTTCAGGGAAAATGCCACTGAGTAGGAAGCATATTTTGATTAAAACATCAAACAAAGAATGTATAGGGCGTGGAACAGGAATTTCAGAGTTATATTTAACTAACCCACATTTTCCTGATTCTGTGGAAACACCAACAGTTTTGGGATCTTTACACAAATAGTTGGTTGGATCATTGTTTATTTTTTCTGGCCGGTATAGCTAGATTATGCATTGATACATGTATTATACATATATTATATATTTTCTTGCTAGTTTTTCTTTAAACGGTTAGATGAATGGCTATTTAGGTTAATTTTTCGAAGTTTTTTTTACCCTTTCAAGGCCATTAGAAAGTTGTAGTAGCTGCTGTCAGCTTGTTTGGATGGTTGTTACCAGTTTTATTATATCGTATTGTTATTTTAAATAAAATGTTTGTTTTGATTGTTACTTAAATTTTATTGTATCGTATCGTTAAATCCGTCGTTACGTAACGATGAAAAGTGCCACTTTATGGAACGANGGAGGTTTCTTGCAAGAGTGGTCTTGCCTATACCACCCATACCATAAATGGAGATGACACTTCATCGAGGCTCTTCTTTGAGAAGTTCAGCAAGAAATCTTTCAATGACTTCCTGAAAGCCAACAAAANTGGAACGACCGATTCGGTGTGGTCGCATCGTTACCTTATTTTTTCTGTTCATCTTGCCTTTCTTTATTATGAAATAATCATATTTTATCTTTTACCCTACCTTTTTATATAATGATTCTACCTCGTATATTATTTTTTCTTTATAATATTGTAAGTTATTCTACATATTCTTGCTGCATGACATCATGAAATGACGGCAATTAATACAATCTATCCAAACATTGTATACATCAAAATGATACAGTACACTACGATACATAACAACCACCCAAACAAGCTGCTCAGGAGTGATTACAATATAGTGGTGCACTCTAGTTGTATAGGAGTAATTTTATTTGCTTACCATTTCTTTTACTATTAGGGTGTGTTTGATATGAAGGAAAATATTTTCTAATTTTTCCATGTTTGGTTGGCTTAAAATTTTTGGAAAATATTTTTCTCATGAACTCATTTTCCTCCAATTTGAAGAAAATGTTTTCCCTATCAAGAGAAGGGAATTTTTTTTCCAAACTTCTCTCCATTCTCCATTCCCCATTGAAAGAATTACAAGAAAATACATATGACTTCACACCATAACAAAACATGATCCATATTTTTAAGTTTTACCCAACCTAGCCCATATTGTACATATTTTGAAAGCACTAGCAAATTCAAAACTTGTATTCTTATAATCATTGCTTCTAAAAGCTATGGAATTAAATATGTGTTCTCACAACCCTTGATTTCACTCTCTCTTCTTCTCGTATCTTCTACATATGCTTCAAAGGGTCGTCCGCCATTGTTGCTTCTTACCCTGTGTCACCTTGTTGCGATGTAAGAAAATTGAAGAGTAGAAGTCCACCATTGAAGGCCATTCAAAGCTTTGCTTTCGAAAATAGGATTTTTTGAGTTTGTTAGTTGTTTGGATTGGGTGTTGTTCCAATTGGTTGAAAATATCAAAAGGAGTTCAAAATTTAAATTTGAAGTGATTTGGAGTAGATTTGAGCAAGAATTGAGTTCAATTTTAGAAAAGACGCAAGGAAAAAGACAAAGTCAGTTTTTTGTATAATTATGTATAATCTTGTATATGAGTGTATAAACACATCTTATACACTATTATACATTTTTATACACCTTTATACAAGCGTCTGTAGACGAACTTCTTCCACGATTTTCATCTGTAATTCTTGTTCAAAATCAGTCCAAATCTCCATTAAATGACTTCAAATTTTATATACAACATCTTTATACTATTTCTAACAAGTCTAAATAAACATTCACTCCAAATTTCTTTCAAAATCAAATTCTAAATTTAAACCCACATGTTTAAGCTTATTAAAAATTTAATTTTCACCATCCAAATGGATTTGATTTGTTGAACTAATATTTGAATCACAGTTATTGGTTCGAAAATTAACTTAAAAGCTTGAGCAATATTTTTTAAAAATTAAATAGTAATTTCTAGAACCTATTAGAGTTGGATGTTGAATCTTAGCCTATTATTTTTGGGCTAGTAGGTTGTAAATTGAAATATGAGCTAAAATTGAAAAGCAGGGAAATTAGTTGTTCTTATGTGAAATTTTCCCTTCCCCATTCCCCATCCCCACCCCCATCCCAACCCCAACCACCTTGGCCAAACCCCTCCCCAACCCCACCCTAAATAGAAATATTATTAATAGTACTTTCTTTTCATGTTATAGATAGAATATTTTTTATTTCATTTCAACAAATGAGTATTTTCTTTTCACGATATAATTTTTTTTCATCTTAACAAAAAGAGTAATTTCTTTCATGTTGCAGAAAAAATATTTTCTTTCATTTCAACAAAATGATATAGTAGAACGTATTTTCTTTCATTCCAACAAAATGTAGTGAAGAATATTTTCTTCCATTGCAATCAAATGAGTATTTTTTTCATGATGTAGAAAACGTATTTTCTTTCATTTCAACAAAATGAGTATTTTATTTTCATGTTGTAGAAATAGTACTTTCTTTTTCAACCAAAAAAGAGTGTTTTTTTTTAAGGTATGGAGCACAAAT